CTGAACCACCCAGGCGCCCCACTTCTTGGTGTTTTTAAAAGCTGTCAGAGCTACATCCTTTTAATAGTTTTATTTATTTATTTATTTTTAAATGTTTATTTATTTTGAGAGAGCAAGTGGGAGAGGGGTAACGAGAGAGGGAGAGAGAATCTCAAGTGGTCTCCGCATTGTCAGCACAGAGCCTGACTTGGGGCTCAGCCTCAGGAACCATGAGATCGTAACCTGAGCTGAAGTCAAGAGTCAGTTGCTTAACCGACTGAGCCACCCAGGCACCACCCCAAAATACATAATTTAAAAATGGAATCACTATGGGAAAAATTGTATATGCATATGTGTGTATAGGAATATACTTTTAATCTTGGTAAACACTGCCATATCGTTTTCCAAAATATTACAGCACATCACTTTCCTACAAGATAAAGAATGGCACATTGCCTCTACTTTTTAGATAAAATAATTTACTTAAAAAAGTGTATTGTAGGAGCTGAAAAGCTGACTCCTACTTGCTTGAGGACCGATGGTGAGCTCCCTTCCCTACTCTGAGTTCAGTGACCTCACCTTTGTGGCCATGGTGGCCACCATGAGTATGGACAATGACCAGTGCTACGAATCAGGACTTCTCGTCCCAGAGAGATGGTTGTTCGATGTTTACTGATTTGTGAATACCCACGTCTGTGTCAGGGAGCAAGAATCCCTGTCCCTCTCAAGGTCCTTCTGGCCAGACCAAGTATCAAATTGACATGAGACAGATTAACAGGAGGAAATCAACATTAATCGGCATATGTATGGGAATCCACATAGACATTCCAAACACAGGCACAATCAGAAATATATGTCCTTCTGAACTAAGGAGAATGGGGCAGGGGTCTAGGATTTTACAAGAAAACAGTGCAATTCATAGGGTGATAAGAAAAGCAGATGTTTGCTAATTGGCTGTTCTACATACAGAGGACTCACTCAGGTAAAATGTATCTCCAATAATTCATATTCTGTGAAATACCCCAAATGAGATTTTTCTGTGTGGCTAAGAGAGGGACAAAAGTATCTCCTGAGACACAGGGTCTCAGGGGCTTTGTGTTCACAAAAGCTCACATGTCAAAGTGACACATTCTGGGAGGGGCCACTCTGGAACCCTTTCATCTATATAATTTACACTTTTATATTTATATAGGATCATGAAGTCCACAGACTGTTACATGTTTCTAGTTACATTTTTATATCCTTTGGTGTTTTTTTATTATTATTTTGTCAATGCTACGTAAACTGTCGTACAACGTAGATCACGTACATTCAAAACCTACATTTTTCTCTTGGAGTCCTAAAGAGAGTTGAAATATGAACAGTTTTGATTTTAAAGTAGGTGGTATGTAAGTGGATGGAAGAGTGATGATATATTACTGAAATTACTCAACTTTGACCTGGCTTTGCTTATGGTACAAAGATTTGATTGATGTACAAAGGAAACTATTCTAATTTCATGTAATTAGGAAGTTTCTTTTTATCCCTGTGGACATATTAGAATTCTTTTTTTTTTAATTTTTTAAATTTATTTTTTAGAGAGAGAGACAGAGCGTGAGTGGTGTAGGGGCAGAGAGAGGGAGACACAGAATCTGAAACAGGCTCCAGGCTCTGAGCTGTCAGCACAGAGCCCAATGTGGGGCTCGAACCCACAAACTGCGAGATCATGACCTGAGCCGAAGTCAGATGCTCAACTGACTGAGCCACCCAAGCGCCCCACATGTTGGGATTCTTAAATAAGCTGGAAGAGTTTTGGTTAACAAAATTAAGAAAACTTGCCACTTTTTTACTTGAGGACTATTTGCAGCATTATTAATCATGGTTTAAGTATGAATGGGCAATGAGAGAATGGTTAATTCTAGAAAACAGAAGGAAAAGAAATCTAGAAAAGAAAGTTTAGAGATTGTACAAAGATCCCTAGGTTTTCTTTCTGTCGAAGTTTCCAATATAGTCTGTACCACAAACTCCAATTTTGTTATGTTACCCTAAATCACAAACAAATCAAACTTATCTCCTTATACATGGGTATTGTTCCAAAGCAAGCTCTCCTTTGTATTACTGTTATCCTGAAGGAAATACTGAGGACTCTTCCATACTCAAGAGCCCTTAATTAGTTGTCAGAAAAAAAAAGTTTACATTTAATTTAGAATCATAGCCAGGGTAGGGATGCCAGGGTGGCTCAGTTGGTTAAGCATTCGACTCTGATTTTGGCTCAGGTCATGATCCCAGGGTTGTGGGATGGAGCCCCACATTGGGCTCTGTGCTGAATGTGCAGCCTGTTTGGGATTCTGTCTCTCTCCTTCTGCACTTCCCACTTTCTCTCTCTCTCTCTAAAATAAATAAAATTAAATAAAAATTAAATTAAAATAAAATCATAGAGTAATTGTAAATCATCTTACCAATAACAGGAAGAATTTAATATTTTCTGAAATATCAAAAATGTAGAGAAGGAACGCTTAGTTGTCTTTCGTAACAAGATATTATAATTCGTAAAAATGCCACTTCTTTCTTACTCTGTCTTTTCTCCCAATGTATGAATATTCAAATCAGTATGTAAGCATTGTAATTATGTGGGCTTGTATGTAAAAAAACCACTTCATATACTTCTGGATGTCAATTTCTGCAAACAACTTTTCAGCAGTAGCTCCCACTCTGACCTTCCCTCACCTGTCCTTCCTACTGCTTGTGGAGTAAGTGCTGGATTGAGCTCCGCCCATTCTTGGGCGCACTCTGGGGAATAGGCGTGAAAGAGGGAGATGGTGGTGGCACCTGATGGCTGACACAGATTTATCCAGTGCCCAGTGGTCAGGGTGTGTAAGCATGTGGAGATGCAAAGTGTCATGCTATTCTGTCTACCAGCGTGCATAAAAATTAAGGAAAATCATTAAATGTCTCAATCCAAAAAAAAAAAAAAA